TCAAGTGGCCCTCTAATTAGATATTTTAACTAGTTTTTATGATAACCTAGTGATGAACAGCGGAAGTTTAGATTCATTATTAAGAAAAAAAGTGTTCATTATTATCTATCAAGAAGTAACTGAAACTCCAATCTGTAGAGATTAAGATGAGACTATACCAGGCTTTTCTGACCTTATTCCATCCAAAAATGATAGCTCTGAACTGCTATTTTCATCGGGACATCTAGAAGAAAGAAGATGATTCTTGTTGGCTCTATTATAGTTTGCATTAGTTTTATTCTTGTGTTTACAATTTTCAATAAAATTATATTTTCAAAAATAGAAGAAAGAAAATAAGTGGGCAAAGTCTGCTTTACAAAAATACATTCCTCCAAAAAATCAACTAGAATTAGGTAATTCTAGTTGTATTTTCCAATCTGAATGAGCCTTAGTGCAATTATATGAAATGACATTTTTATTGTAAAGAATTAAATAGGCACTGGTATGTTAGTATCATATCATACATTATATCACATTTTATCAAAAAGCTCTCTCTCTAACACCTAATAAACAAATTGAAAGCTGCAGCCCAATGTAGAAAATCTATCCACATATTACATTCTCTCTCTTTGAGAGCACAGGTTAAGATAATTTAAATGAATTAATCATGAGATATAAGAAAAAATGCAACTAAATCTCCTTTATACCAATATCATTCACTATACACTGTCTATCTTCACAACCATCCTTATTTCCACCACATCACAGACTGAATTATATGTTGCCTTTTGTTCTTTAAACTTATTTCCCTCCGTGTTTTTTGTTTTTTGTTTATTTGTTTGTTTGTTTTTGAGGAGCTGATTTGGTCTTTCTCTTCTTCATCCATACATTTTTCCCTTATATTGCATTTGCAATTTAATCCTGATTCATTTGTTCTCTATGACCAAACCACAAATGTACTTTTATACTTGCCATTTATGTTTGCATTTAATTCATATTCATTCAATATTAATTCTCAACCCTATCTCTACACTTAAGTACTTCTATTCCCATTACATTATATCAGTGTTTATATTTCTCTTCTGAATGGCCCAATTGCCTTTTCTGTACTCTCCTGTCTCATTTCCACCCATTCATTCATGTAATCTACAGAATAATTTTTCACTAATTTTTGCTAATTTTGCTAAAAAAATTGCTAATTTTTGCTAGATTGCATCCATTCAGAATGTTTCCCCAAACTCATCACTTTTCCTTCCCCAAACTCATCACTATTTCTTCCCCAAACTCATCACTTTTTCTTCCATTCACTGAAATGTAACATGCATCAGTTTGTTGATTCCCACTTTCACACATACCTATAACTTGTATGTTATACATCCGACATAAAATTTAGCCCTTTTAGTTATAATTACACTTTTACTTCCCTGCATGGATTCATCTGCCCCATTTATAAAATCAGACCACCTTAATTCAAGTTGTATCTTTCAGACGCTACAGTTATTACCCATCCACCATGGCTTTAGTTATTTTGTACAATACAGGGTGGTCTATATAATGCTATAGACAACTGGAAGCTTGGTTTCCTGGTTTCTAGTGCAGCACCTTAACTATTACACAAGACAGATTACAGTACAGGGAATCTACCTTCATTTTATCCCCACATCCCTATGAGATAAGTTGAGTTTAGAGAGACTGTCAAAGTCATCCCATATCCTTCCATGGATGAGAGTGGATGAACCTGGCCTGCACAATCCTAGCACAACAGCTTTATTACTACACCATACTGACTCTCAGATTTTGTAGTTGAATTTCTGGTTGCTGTTTTTTGAGCCTCCTCTGTGGCAGCCATTGAAAATTTTCAGTTTCAAAATTAATTTATTAAAACTTTAATTTGACTAACCAATCTTGTCAATCTTGACTTGGCCTCTTCAGAGTCAAATTTAAAAAATATCAGCTACCCTTATTCTGAATTTGTGCCTGGTTCCAGTGCCTCCTGTTATATATGTTGTTGCACCAATTTTTCCAACATAGAGATTTCATGTCATGTTCACAAAATGTCTGAGAGATATCCATATCCCTGCCCTCAGCTCAGAATTATTCCCCTGGCTGTACCCTAAACAAAGTTGCTTCAAGGGGATCCAAGGAGATACACATAGAACAATTATTCCCAAATTCACTTCTTCCGTCAACTAGGTCAGCATAATCTTAAAAAAAATAATGCATGGTTGTACACGAAGAGAAAAAACCTCAGTTATTGCCTGCACAGAACAAGAAAACAAATGGAAAAAATATTCAAAGGCCAGGACTCTGAAATCAAGAAACTCCCTTTTTGTGACCAGATGCAAACTTATATTGTTCAAGCAATTCTAATAGCTAATTATTCAGCATCAAGTTTCTCTACCTCAAATTTCTTGGCTTCACAAATCACCAAACAAGTTCTCTGAAAAAGTACAGGTAGTCCTTGACTTGAGACCACAACTGAGATCAAAATTTCTGTTACTAAGCAAAAAAGTTTGTTAGGTTTGCCCCATTTTATGGCCTTTCTTGCCACAGTTGTTAAGTGAATCACTGCCATTTAAGTTAGTAGCACAGTTCTTAAGTGAATCTGGCTTCCCCATTGGGTTTGCTTGTGAGAAGTTCACAAAAGGTGATCACATGACCCCAGAACACTGCAACTGTCATAAATGTGAACCAGTTGCCAAGCGCCCAAATTTTGATCACATGACCATGGGGGTGCTGCAATGGTCGTAAGTGTGAAAAATGGTCATAGGACACATTTTTCAGTCTTGTAACTTTGAACGGTCGCCAAATGAATGGTTCTCAATTGAGGACTACTATAATGTCAATAAGATTGGACTACAGTTATCACATTTCCCAGGCTTTAAAAGTATCGATTAAAATCTCAAGGCTTCCACATTTTTTGTCAAGCATGAAAACATCCTAAACTGAGAAGGGGTTAGATGTCCTGCTCTCTATCTTTGTTTTCATCAGTATTTACTGTCTAGAGAATACAACAATAGAGGTGGCCTAATGGATTCCTTTTCCTTCCTCTAACTCAGGGCTTTTCAACTTTTTCACCCATTGTACCACTTTTAGGATATGGCAACATCCGAGTACCACCAGTCGCCTAGCAAGGTGTCAAAAACTTGATGACCCCCCCCAAAAAAAGGAAAAAAGTGATAAAGTACAGGTAGTCCTCGACTTACAACAGTTCGCTTAGTGACTGTCCGAAGTTACAACGGCACTGAAAAAGTGCCCTCCAAGCTACAGCCAAGCAAGACACCTGCCTGCTCGCCTGGCGACACTCTTCCTCCTGTCTGAGGTTTTCATTGTTGTGAACATTTCTGTTGAGGATTGACAGTAGGGTTGGGGTGGAGGGTGTTTGATTTTTATTCCCCCCGTCTGCTGGGTGGTTGCAGCAGGTTTTGGTCATTTCATATGACCCTGGGACACTGTGACTGTCATAAATATGAATCAGTTGCCAAGCATCTGAATGTAAATCACAAGACCCTGGAGATGCTGCAACATTCCAGCTGATTGGCGCTTCTTCTGGGCTCAGCAGAAGCGCCAGGATCAGCGCCAAGCTCCAGTTGGAGCCTGGTGCTGATCCTGGTGCTTCCACTGTGCCGACAGCCCCGAAAAAATGCTGATCCTGGCGCTTCTGCTGAGCCCTGACAGCCCTGCAGCTCCAGCCATCTCTTGCTCAGGCTTGTGCAGTACTGCCACTGGTTCAGCTCATTCCTCTCCCCCGCTACCACTTTTCTAGGATGGTCGCGTACCACCTGCCAGGTGCCAATGTACCACAGGTGGTACCCGTACCATTGGTTGAAAAGCCCTGGTCTAACTTACCCAAGGTGATGTGAATGGGGAAAAAGGGGAAGCTAACACAGCAAAGAAAAACTGAATACAGTACAGTAAAAAGATATGGAACAAGAAGTGTAATAGAAAACAAGAGGGCAATAAAGAAGAACTGCCCAAATATTAAAATATGTGTAGTTACAATTATAATTATACACTTCCAGTTCTATTGTTCTACATAGGCAGGCACAGATATAAATTTCCCTTCTCACGTAACATGCAGCCAGAAAACTAGAAATTTTGAAAGTGATCACCAAAAATATTTTCCTAATATAAAGCAGAAATGAAAAGGGCACAATACTTTTTCTATTAAAAAAAGCAATTGTTTCAGAACTGTAAATTCATTAATTTGAATCAGTTTCAGAAAAACTGTACAAGATCTAAGGATGTAAGAAAAGTTATTTTAAAATGAAATGTGAATTAACATTTTAAGTAAGAAACATGAACTTATATCATTTTATCACCCAACTATAAGTTTTCTTTGCCTTACTAAATTTTGTCCTAGGTTCAGACAGAGAACAAATCCATTCTTGCTGTCCACATGTTAGAGTTGTCCTAAAGATTTGTTAAGTTTATCATTTCTTATATAATATCCTAATTCTATCTTAGACAAGATGAACCGCATGTAAATCTAATAAATAAATTCACACGACTGTATCTCAATTAAACAGATCAAGATATTTTGCCCCAGGTTCATTTGCTCTTTTCATAGCACACATACATAATGGATTAATTAATTAGATTTTTATTTACTCAAAAAAAATATTACCGTAGCTGTAGCATAAATTAGTATCTTAAATAGACTTCAAACTATGAAACCTAACAGATTAAAAAAAAGAAATAATGGCTGACTGAAGATTTCCTAGTTTAACAGTAATCCCCAAAGATGGTGTTTTGGGCCAGCAACTTTTTCATTCATATCTCAGCTTATGTCTTAGGTCTGATGCCAAGATTATGCTCTGAAAATAATTGTCTGAACCCGTACCCCAGCTTAATATAGCTTTTTACACAAATTAAATAAAGTGAAGGAAATGAAAAAATCTTAACTGCTCTTTTGTTAAAAAAATTTTTTTAAAAAAATCTAAATATTTTAACATAAAGTTGATTATATTCACTCATGTAAGCAATAAAATATAAAAACAAAAAGAAGTACGAATACTTACTAGATGAACATAGGGTATGAAATATCCAAATAAAGCAGCTGGAATCCCCAGAGCCCAGATTCTATAACTCAAAATTTTGAAAATGGAAAAATTGCACACTTCTTTTGCTGGAGGTAATTTGAACTTCTTCCCTTTTTCACTTTGTTTGGTACTAGGCATGAGAGGTTTGTAAGTAAAGCCAGCCAGGAAAAGAATAAACACAAAAATGCATAGGATTTGAAAAGTCCCAGAGAGGCCAACAGAATTGACCAGTTTATTTAAAAGAAAAGGCAGTGTTATAGTGAACAAACTACTCCCAGCCGTAACAATGCCATTCACCAGTCCCAGACGCTTCTTGAAATAATGTCCCAAAATGACCAGGGATGGCTGATAGGTAAATGAACAGCCGCAGCCAAACAAGATTCCATAGGTGAAATACAGAGGTCCAAGTGAACTACAACAAACAGAGAACAGGGTTAACTGTGGTCTTCTGCATATTTTCCTTTTTTATTTTTATCTTTCAATGTTGTTTTATATTGACTTTTGGATATTGTTAGAAAATCAAAGATAATTTAGTTTATAAGTCATATCTAGAAAGCTATATTTCCACAATGTTTACATTTTTATCCCCAAAATATAACTTTGCATAGTTCAAACCAACATTAATTATACATTAAATATATTTTCTGACTCTATGTTTTCCACATGGTTTGCATAATGAAGAAAAATATTTCTTGTGATATGGAAATTATAATTCTGTTACAGCCTAAAAGTACATTTGACCTTTTCTGCAGTCATATCACACTGCTGATTCATATTCAGGTTCTATTGCCATCATATACTAGATCATTTGGCTCCTATTTCCTAAGAGAAGAACACTAACAAAGTGTATGCTATATTTTATTTTGTTATTTTCATCCAATTTTTCTAATTTATGAAGATTAAATCAAACTGAATTTTATTTTTATCTTTCAAGTTTGCAGTCTCCAAACTTTTGATTGCATACACTTATAAGTTAAAAAAAATGAGCATCCTCACTAGATATATTATTTATTTATAAATTACATCCATGCAGTAATATTGTAATATATTATGCACATTATAAAACATACGCCCAAAATATATATTTTAAAAGGATGAGATAAATATAGACATTCTATTCTTTCTTGCACCTCAATGGATCATCTTATGCATATCCCATTTTTGAAATCAATCTGTATCATTTGATAAATGTACTGTTTATCTCTTCTGTGGCCATATAAAAAAAGCATCTTCTGAAAATTTCATTAGCTTACTGGAAGTGTCAAGGGAAGCTTCACAGCATGATTGAAACTCATGAATAGAAACCATTTCCAGCTACTGGAACTGGTAAATGAAGCTGAAAGCAAAGCCACACAATCACTGCATTTCCAGAAGTGATTAACTAAATAGATACGAGAAAATACCTCTACTAAGCATTCAGATGGGATATAAAGTGTTACTAGATGCGCCATTAATGATGCAGGGATGCAAAATAGATTATTCCCAATACTGTACACAATTTTGCAATCCTATGCCATTTTACAAATTACTCTGAACAATCTTTTCAAATTTGAAAAGGAAGATCTGAATGATTTTGTCTTGAACGAATGGTGTAGAGACATATGGAGGTAACCTTGAAGAAGGAAAGCAAGGGCAGTTACATAAGCATCAACTTAGTCCTAAAAGAGAAGAAAGTGTGACAAAGAAACTGAAGACTGCCTGGCTTTGATTTGCTTAAGCATGAGGTTCAGGGGAGAAAGAGAGAAACTGTCAAGCTTTCAAGATTCTGCTCTTATACACTACACCCATAAAGCAGAGTTCCTGTGATCTGTGTGGAATCTGTTTGCCTCAAAGCATTGACAAATAGGCAGTAAGAGCAGTCCATGCAAAAATCTCACAATTTTCTTGAATATACAATAATCCCTGCAGTAAGATGTTTCCTCACTTTTAATACAAAAATAACATGGAGCAACATGGGAAAAGGTTCATTTACACAGAGGCCCACTTTACCTCAGAAATGGCTGCTTAAATCATGTTTGATGACAAAAAGGCAGCCAGAACAGGTTGTGATCTTAAGAGTGCTGTTGGGTTCTAAAGTGCTAGGATAATACTTTAAATATGACACAATTTTAGTCAAAATGTCATATTTGAAGTATTATCCTAACACTTTAGAACCCAACAGCACCCTTAAGATCATCATCTAATGATAGGAAGGTGGGAGGTGCAGCAGAAGAAATATTACAGTTCTCAAGGTGATGCCCCAAATATACTGCTAGAGGCCAGTTGCATTTCGAAAAGTCAGTGAAAATTACTATTCTTACCGTACAAAGGAGCTTGAAAGGAGCCCAACGAAAGCCACAGCTGCTCCTACTACAGCTACTTTTCGACAACCAAACATGTTGGTAAATACACTGACAATGGGAGAACAGAAGAAAATCATCCCCATCGACAAAGAATTCACCAATGCTGTAGAAAAGATTAAAAATTAGAATATATTTAGCATGGCAGGTTTGAGAATATGCAGTGTAATGTTTATTCCGGTTTTCAGGTAGCATGGAACAAAATCTGGCAGGCGAATATTAATTTGCATTTGGGAAAACCTCAAGCGGACTTGAAGTTTAACGTTTTAAAAGATAGGAACTGGTATAGACATGTTTTATATAAATTTGAGAATACTTATAAAGCTATACTATAAAAATGTATTGAAAAGCACTCTGAAGCACTTGGAAGTAGGAGATATATAAATTATTCTACATGCATAAGTAAGTATACAGATAAACCACCATTTGAAAGTATTTGTTTTCCATATCTTTTTTTAATGAGATTTTGAAAAGACAGAAATAATTTCTTGAGAATAAAAATGGATATTGTATAATTTTCCTACTTTCACAAAGACTGATACTGCAGAGATTGGAAAGATCCTTAATCAATTACAATAATCTGAATATCTTTTCTGTCCATATATCAATAGGCATTGTACTTCTCAGAGACTCTTCTGGAGGATAATTTAGAAATTGAGACTGCATGTTTAGCAGAACTATTTATAGAAGTTTTTATTGCTGATTTAATTGTTTTTATAAATAATTATAACTTGATATTAAAATATCTTAACAAGATGCTTCTTGTTTAATTAATCTGTAAGAGATAAATGCTTTTCATATTTTTCCTTCACACACAATAATGTTTCATACACAATACACACACACTCACACATACACACACACAAAGACCGACATATAGAACTTATTTCCTGATTGTGCAAATTGAATGACCGTAGGAAATATAACTTACATGAAAAAGAGGTTTAATGTGATTTTACTAGAAGTTGATTAGAAATCATATAGTTTTGCATTTTACAGATTAGAACTACAAGTATTTCTCACTTACTGATTGCAGTTGGGACCAGCAATTGTTAGGTGCAAGTAATCAGGAATAGGAGTTGAGTTCAAAGCATTAAAAGTTCATTACATATTACCGACACACAAGAATCTGATCTACTAACTGTCAAACCAATTGGCACTAGATAAGGGTCAATGGAATTCACAGGGTCATTGGTCTATTGTGAGAATATAACAACTCCAAATTGACGGCACCTTTGACCCCGCTCTCAGGCTCAGTCTGCTAATCTCCTACAGTAATCCTGTCACTAAGCAATGCAGTCATAATGTAAAATATTATGTGATACCCAGCTTATGATGTTAGTTCCAGCTGCTACCGTTAAGCAAATCACCTCAGTAAGAATGAAATAATGTGACCACAATCTGAGACTTCTGTTAGCTTTCCCATTGACTTTGCTTGTTGGAAGCAAGCTGTGAAGATCACAAATGGTGATCCTTGACCACGGGTACACTGTGACAGCCGTAAATTCAAGGACTAGTCATAAATTTCTTTTTCAGTGCAAATGTACCTTTGAATGGTTGCTGAACAAATTGTCAATAAGCAAGGACTACTTGTACTTTATAAAAAAGACTGTGTGAGCTGAGCTGAAATTCGCAATCCATTCCAATATATTATATCTGAACTCACGTTGCAAAATTAGGTTAAAACTATGGATGATGAAGTAATTATTTACAAACCAAACAGAATTCTTTACACCTTTTTTGAAAGAGAAAATACTTATTAAATACTTAGTAAAACTTTAGAGATAATCTTTATCAACTAATGTTGATTATAGTTACTGAATTAACTGTAATTCAAGAGCATGGTAATGAGTTTTAAAACCTTTTATGGCTTTCAACATGCATATCTGCAAGACTTGCCTGCTCCAAATGGAATCTGCCCATCGGATCATCTTCAAAGACCCACAGGCAAATCTTATCTATGGTAGATCTTCTACTTTGGAACAGCTGGTCCGTCATCCTTATCAATGTTCTGCAGTGGTATTAAGATTCAGCTGTTTTAGAGCAGGGGTCCCCAACCTCCGGTCCGTGGATCAGTACTGGGCTGCGGCATGCCAGCAACCGGTCCACAGAAACAAAGCCCCATCCACGGGATGCAGGCAGCATACAAAACCACACCCCTTCCGGTCCACAGAAAAACCTCTCTCCATGGAACTGGTCCCTGGTGCCCAAAAGGTTGGGGACAGATGGACAGTTTTTTTTGAAGCCAGGGCTGAATAACTCATTGCAAATAGTTTCAGCTCCAAGGGGTTATACAATGAAGTCACTGTGGGTAGAGCCAAACACTCTTAATTTTTATAAAAAAGTTTTGTGGGGACAGTGGATTTTAAATGCAAAATAACTATGCTTTGGGAACTTAAAAAGGGTTAACAAAAAAAAAAAAAAACCTACACCACCCATCCAGTTGCCTCCCAACTGCTGTCTTCCAGATTACTATTCTTCCACAGCTATCAATAGAAGGGAAGCAGGGCTCTGTCCCTCACATCCAGCTGTATGCTAATGAGCCGAAACTCTGGAATGATGCTGTTTATAAATTTTAACAATCAATCCCCATGAACTACAGAAAACTCAATTAATAGACTGCATTCCAAGGGTACACTTTTAAACCATTAAGATTCTAAACCTCATTAGACTCAAATGTAAAAAGTAATTTAGAGAAAATGGATGGTGTAAAAGAGGTAAATATTTGGCACCTTAGAATCACAAAAATATGAGGTCTTTCATAATTATACTGGTGGTCTTCAGTTAGCAGTTATTCAGTGACTATTCAAACTTATGACAGCATTGAGCAAGTAGTACTTACAAACACTTCCCCAAATTCTGGCTAACATAGAGCTCCTGCAGTCATGTTATCATGATTTGAGTGCTCAGCAACTGAACCATATTTCCAACTTCTGCAGCATTCTGCAGTCACATAATCGCAATTTTCAACTTTCCACAAAGTTGATGAGGAAGTTGGCAGGAAGTCAGAAATCACAGTCAAGTGAAGTCCTTGCTTAACACGTGAATGGTAATTCACTTAACAATGGCAACCATGGACTGCCAGAACTATCATTACTAAGTGGCACAGTCACGTAACATTGTACTTTACGACTAAGTCACTTACCGATAGAAAGTCTGGTCCCAATTACCATCATTAAGGAGAGCTACCTGTTTCACACTTTTTAAGACTAAAGGCAAAATGGAATTGAGCATTTACGGGTGGGGCCTTCGCCTACTTAAAAGAATATAATATCTTTTATTATGCTACCTATTCATTTTTTTTTCTGAAAGAGATTGAGTAGTCTGCTTTTTCAACAGAGCCTGTATACCAGAAAGTAGCCCTCCCATAATTTTGATTATGCTGGCTGTGAAGTCTGGAAAAGCTATCATAAAGGGTATAGCAACACCATGCCCACTGGTATAGCTAAGTTCTGCACAAGAATTAATAAGTAAATTCCATTGCCTTCTGCACAAGAATTAACTGTTACCACTGTATACTGTTCACTGTATTTATTTTTTCCAAGAAAATATGGTCACTGTAAATTTATCTCACAGGGCTGTTTTGGATCTAAAGTAAGGGAAACAACTCACACCCTATTCCCTTAAAATGATTTGAGCTCTCAGGAGAAAAGGTAACTATAATTCAATCAGTCAATCAATCAGTCAGTCAATCAGTTAATCAAGCAGTGGTTTTTAACCCCAACCTTTAACATTATCTTTATTTCAAAATTAATATCATAATGGTTGTCGAAGGAATTAAGGTGTTAAAGTACAAACTCTTCTCTTCCTTAAAATGTTAAGCAGTTACATCAAGTAGCCCTTCTGTAATGTAGGTGTCCAAATTGAGACAGATCTGTTCAACCACATTCTTGAAGAATGAACCAAATGTTCATAGCAAACATTCTGCTTATATTATACAAGTTTACCAAGTTCTTTCCTTTTCTAAAAGATCTTGTTTCTTGCTGCAGGCAGGGAATATACCACACGCTTGGATTCCATTTTAATCAGGCTGTACAATTTCCCCTTTTTAGAGAGGGTGAAAAAAAATCTATATCAATGTTACTTGTGCCATACATGGTGTTTTAGACACCAGTCAGGTAGAAAACAATACAATAATCAAGAACCATTAAGGAAGAAACCATATTCCATTAAACCTGGGAGGGCAAGCCACCTTTATATATGCAAACAGCAAACCTCATACTCACAATGATGATGAATGAAATGTCTCTAAGCAAACAAACAAGCTCATAGACAAACAAGCAGGCAGTATCTTCACATGATTTTCTACATTTTGACTCGGCCCTCCCCGTTACCTTCTCCAATATCATTTTTTGTATAGAAGCCATTTTAGCGCCCTTATTATTTTGGATGTCCCTTTTTGTATTTGTTCAAGCTTTACATTATCCTTCTTATATCCTTAGTATAATAAACACAATAAACTAAGTAGCTGAAAAGAACACAGCAAAACAGAGGAACACATTGCTGAAGGGTCCCAAAAGACAAAAAAAAAAAAACCAAAACCAAAACCCTCCAAATTGAACATGTTTGGAACTGTAGAGCCAGGGAGAGAGGGAAAAAGAAGGATCAGCCTAGAATCGTTTCAAACTAAGTCCAGTCCCTCCTTGATCGCTGTTATTGTTATCAAATTATAACCAAGTGCTGACTGTTAGTTGAAAAGAGTCCTGGGCATAAGCTTTTAGCAATAACTCAGTTAAACTGAAACTTCATCTGTAGACCTGGTCTTTAACACCTGGAAGGAACATTGTTCTGGGAAATCAGTTCAGAATGACAGAATTGAAGGGCCCAAGTTGGTCTCTGCAGCTGGTGTACTTGTATACAATATTGTTTGATAATACCAAACACATCCACTAGTTGCAATTTTTAGAAAATTTTGCATGCAAAGATACGGTACATGGGTAGTCCTCAACTTATGATCACAATTGAGCCCAATATTTCTGTTGCTAAAGGAGTCAGTTGTTAATTGGGTGGGCTTGAAACTGAATGGATGTATAAATAAATATTTTTTTAAAAGGAAATGCTCAATTGTCTTGAACATAATGCAATCTTTTTCATTTAAAACAGAGT